CTCACTGGTATGAGTCAGCTGCCACTGAGCACTCACTGGTATGAGTCAGCTGCCACTGAACACTCACTGGTATGAGTCTGCTGCCACTAAGCACCTCACTGGTATGAGTCAGCTGCCACTGAGCACCTCACTGGTATGAGTCAGCTGCCACTGAGCATCTCACTGGTATAAGTCAGCTGGCAACTGAGCACCATAATTGGTATGAGTCAGCTGCCACTGAGCACCTCACTGGTATGAGTCTGCTGCCACTAAGCACCTCACTGGTATGAGTCAGCTGCCACTGAGCACCCACTGGTGTTAGGCTGCTGCCACTGATCACCTCACTGGTATGAGTCTACTGCCACTGAGCACCTCACTGGTATGAGTCAGCTGCCACTGAGCACCTCACTGGTATAAGTCTCCACTGAGCACCACACTGGTATGAGTCAGCTGCAATTGAGCACCTCACTGGTATGAGTCAGCTGCCACTGAGCACCTCACTGGTATGAGTCAGCTGCCGCTGAGCACCTCACTGGTATGAGTCAGCTGCCACTGAGTACCTCACTGGTATGAGTCAGCTGACATTGAGCACCTCACTGGTATGAGTCAGCTGCCACTGAGCACCTCACTGGTATGAGTCAGTTGCCACTAAGCACCTCACTGGTATGAGTCAGTTGCCACGGAGCACCTCACTGGTATGAGTCAGTTGCCACTGAGCACCTCACTGGTATGAGTCAGTTGCCACTAAGCACCTCACTGGTATGAGTCAGCTGCCACTGAGCACCTCACTGGTATGAGTCAGCTGCCACTGAGTAACCTCACTGGTATGAGCCAGCTGCCACTGAGCACCTCACTGGTATGAGTCTCCACTGAGCACCTCACTGGTATGAGTCAGCTGCCACTGAGCACCTCACTGGTATGAGTCAGTTGCCACGGAGCACCTCACTGGTATGAGTCAGTTGCCACTGAGCACCTCACTGGTATGAGTCAGTTGCCACTGAGCACCTTACTGGCATGAGTCAGCTGCCACTCAGCACCTCACTGGTATGAGTCAGCTGCCACTGAGTACCTCACTGATATGAGTCAGCTGGCATTGAGCACCTCACTGGTATGAGTCTCCACTGAGCACCACACTGGTATGAGTCAGCTGCAACTGAGCACCTCACTGGTATGAGTCAGCTGCCACTGAGCACCTCACTGGTATGAGTCAGCTGCCACTGAGCACCTCACTGGTATGAGTCAGCTGCCGCTGAGCACCTCACTGGTATGAGTCAGCTGCCACTGAGTACCTCACTGGTATGAGTCAGCTGCCACTGAGCACCTCACTGGTATGAGTCAGCTGCCACTGAGCACCTCACTGGTATGAGTCAGCTGCAACTGAGTACCTCACTGGTATGAGTCAGCTGCCACTAAGCACCTCACTGGTATGAGTCAGCTGCCACTGAGCACCTCACTGGTATGAGTCAGCTGCCACTAAGCACCTCACTGGTATGAGTCAGTTGCCACGGAGCACCTCACTGGTATGAGTCAGTTGCCACTGAGCACCTCACTGGTATGAGTCAGTTGCCACTAAGCACCTCACTGGTATGAGTCAGCTGCCACTGAGCACCTCACTGGTATGAGTCTCCACTGAGCACCTCACTGGTATGAGTCAGCTGCCACTGAGCACCTCACTGGTCTGAGTCAGCTGCCACTGAGTAACCTCACTGGTATGAGCCAGCTGCCACTAAGCACCTCACTGGTATGAGTCAGCTGCCACTGAGTACCTCACTGGTATGAGTCAGCTGCCACTGAGCACCTCACTGGTATGAGTCAGCTGCCACTGAGCACCTCACTGGTATGAGTCAGCTGCCACTGAGCACCTCACTGGTATGAGTCAGTTGCCACGGAGCACCTCACTGGTATGAGTCAGTTGCCACTGAGCACCTCACTGGTATGAGTCAGTTGCCACTGAGCACCTTACTGGCATGAGTCAGCTGCCACTCAGCACCTCACTGGTATGAGTCAGCTGCCACTGAGTACCTCACTGATATGAGTCAGCTGGCATTGAGCACCTCACTGGTATGAGTCTCCACTGAGCACCACACTGGTATGAGTCAGCTGCAACTGAGCACCTCACTGGTATGAGTCAGCTGCCACTGAGCACCTCACTGATATGAGTCAGCTGCCGCTGAGCACCTCACTGTTATGAGTCAGCTGCCACTGAGTACCTCACTGGTATGAGTCAGCTGCCACTGAGCACCTCACTGGTATGAGTCAGCTGCCACTGAGCACCTCACTGGTATGAGTCAGCTGCCACTGAGTACCTCACTGGTATGAGTCAGCTGCCACTAAGCACCTCACTGGTATGAGTCAGTTGCCACTGAGCACCTCACTGGTATGAGTCAGCTGCCACTGAGCACCTCACTGGTATGAGTCAGCTGCCACTGAGTAAACTCACTGGTATGAGCCAGCTGCCACTAAGCACCTCACTGGTATGAGTCTCCACTGAGCACCTCACTGGTATGAGTCAGCTGCCACTGAGCACCTCACTGGTATGAGTCAGCTGCCGCTGAGCACCTTACTGGTATGAGTCAGCTGCCACTGAGTACCTCACTGGTATGAGTCAGCTGCCACTCAGCACCTCACTGGTATGAGTCAGCTGCCACTGAGTACCTCACTGATATGAGTCAGCTGGCATTGAGCACCTCACTGGTATGAGTCTCCACTGAGCACCACTCTGGTGTGAGTCAGCTGCAACTGAGCACCTCACTGGTATGAGTCAGCTGACACTGAGCACCTCACTGGTATGAGTCAGCTGACACTGAGCACCTCACTGGTATGAGTCAGCTGCCACTGAGCACCACAATGGTATGAGTCAGCTGCCACTGAGTACCTCACTGGTATGAGTCAGCTGCCACTAAGCACCACACTGGTATGAGTCAGCTGACACTGAGCACCTCACTGGTATGAGTCTGCTGCCACTGAGCACCTCACTGGCGCACATCTAAGAGTCATTTCTTAATTTTCATCAAATTATGATTTTTCACCTGATAGATTTAGACGAAGACAGTACAGACCAGCAAAGACCAATTCCAACTAGGTACGATACCATTTGTGTTGTCTCATTCAATTATCAGTACGCTTCCAATTCTAGAATCAATGCACATTCCATAGTCTTAGACCTCTACAACTTGCCTAGCATCGACGCCCATTGATTGCAGTTTGTCTTTTGACCATAGATTTGATTGTCTGCGGTGTCATTTATTCATAAATCACATGATTTGGGGGAATTTCCCAGCATGCAACAATTAAACTGGCCAATGAGTGGAGAGTATTTCATCGATGACTGCCAATTCTGAATAATCTGAATATTTCATGAGTTAAAATAGTCATCAATGCTTGGCATAATGAAGAGGTTTCAGATGTTAGGATTGCATAGATTCCAGACTACTATGTTTCCTGACTCTAGAATGTTCATGTCATTCATCAAGATCTCCTGTAAATTTGGGGTTTAATCAACATACATTTTGTATCTTAGCCTTTTTGAGCATGCTTGGTCTCCCAGCAAACATGCACCAAACCTATCACCCCTATTCCCTTGAAATGATCTCACCCACACAGTATGAGTAATTGATTATAAGGTTCATCTGGTGCTCCACCTACATGTACTTCAATGTGATTTGTCTTTTCCTATTTCTGCATGTTCCTAATTTTTTTCCCAGTTCCGATTAATGTACATTTGTCTATTATCTTTTCTCTCGACTCATGCTTCATTTTTTCCTCCAAAAAATGTTGACCTGAACACAAAGCACTGGGAAAAGAAATGTCTGTAATATAGCTAGGCATGACTGTAATTTTAAAATTTGTTGAAAACACATTATTTTGTTATGCCGTGCTATGTGGCAAGAAATGACTTGACATTTATATTTATCAATGAAGATGCCTGATTGTTCATCATGGTAATGTCTGTCAGACCTACATAACATTTTTTTCCAATTTAGAGTCGTTGCAAGAAGCACGTTTTATGTAACACCTTCTCTAAATATACCTGTGAGCCGCAGTCGTGGATTTAGCGTTCCTATCATTACTACGTATGTATGCTGAACAAAATATCAATGTTTTGTTGTTTTTTTTGCTGAAAAAAGCTCATAAAGCAATTAACATTCAAGAGAAATCTTTCTGTCTACTATGTATACTAATATTATCTTTTCATTGAAAACTTGTTCTTTTGTTTGAACAGTTATTTTGCATGGCTGGTTGTTGTAGTTTGTTATGTTCAATAATCATTCATTGCCATTCGTATCCCACACATGCTGATATCTACTACACTTTAAAACATTAGGTCACCAGTTGTGCGGATACATCTTGGCTTATGTTCTTTATGATGGCAAATGTCATCTTCAAGACAAATGTCTATATATGGGCATGTAACATGTGTATTATTGTATAAGGTGATTGGCTACCACATCCATGTCCAAATATAGCAAACCACTCTTGTTCTGATTGGCTACCACATCCATGCCCAAATATAACAAACTACTTATGTTCTGATTGGCTGCCACATTCATGCCCGAATATATAGCAAACCACTCTTGTCCTGATTGGCTACTACATCCATGCCCAAATACAGCAAACCACTCTTGTTCTGATTGGCTACCACATTCATGCCCAAATATAGCAAACCACTCTTGTTCTGATTGGCTACTACATCCACATCCAAATATAGCAAACCACTCTTGTTCTGATTGGCTACTACATCCACATCCAAATATAGCAAACCACTCTTGTTCTGATTGGCTATCATGTCCATGACCATTCATAGAATGTGTTTGACTGAATTAAAATAAAATGCATCTAGCCATGCAAAGTAGGATTTGTTCTTTAGTCTTCTCTTGTGTGACTTAATTATCCATTTTACTTGATAATGTATCTTTTCTTGGATTTCTTGTTATGGTATAGATTTAAGGGTGCTTGCACGGTGGTTCGTCTTGCATTAACTATCAGTGGAATTTATTTCTTGAACCATTTTTGTAATATTTTTGTTATTATGAATATTTACAGTTTTGTATATTCCTCGTTGTCTCATAAATATTATTTCAGAAATATTTGTAATTCACTAATTATGTCACTGCCACTGAAAGATGCTGCTAGCCAGTAAATATGCAGAAAATTTAAAATAACTGCAAATTCTTGAAAATTTTGTTCAGAGAAAGATTCCATCAAATAAATAACTAGAAACCAATTTAAATTAGCTGTACCCGAACATGTTTACATGGAAACATTACAATGACCATTTTTTAATTGAAAATTGATCAAAATAAATACAGCTGAGGTTTATCATTCAAGTACTCGTCTGGTTACCTCAATTTTTTTTTGGACTTTCATATCGATAGTCAATGGGAAGTTTCAGAAAGTTTCTGTAGTAGCTGTGTGTATAAAAGGAAAAATGTCAACTAGATGGTGGTATGCAAATTGATTGAAGAGTTCGTAAAATGGCTCCTTTTGAATAATCACTTTTTAAAAATTAATTTTTGTAGTGTTGGACAGTGTATTGCAGATGAGAGCTATGAGTTGACATTTGAATGCTGTACACAAGTTTAAGTGATGCATTGTGATAATGTATTCATATCAAAATGATATCATGTGTTCTTAAAAAGGGCATTGTTGTATGTGCCTGATATTGAATTATAAATAAGTTATATTGCCCTATACACTGTATTTGGACTTTATGTCCATATTTTTCTGGGAATGCCATAAACTATTGTTTCTAACTGAAACATTTTATTGACCATACTCTACATAAATTCAAAAGAACAGTTTTATCTGTGCGTGTGATACATTTAAAGGTACAGTTTTATCTGTGCATGTGATACATTTAAAGGCACAGTTTTATCGGTGCACGTGATACATTTAAAGGCACAGTTTTCTCTGTGCATGTGATACATTTAAAGGCACAGTGTCATCTGTGCATGTGATACATTTAAAGGCACAGTTTTATCTGTGCATGTGATACATTTAAAGGCACAGTTTTATCTGTGCACGTGATACATTTAAAGGCACAGTTTTCTCTGTTTAGTGATACATTTAAAGGCACAGTTTTATTTGTGCATGTGATACATTTAAAATCTCAGTTTTATCTACATGTGATACATTTAAAAGCAGTGTTATTTATGCATGTGATACATTTAAAGGCACAGTGTATACTGTGCATGTGATACATTTAAAGGCACAGTGTTATCTGTGTATGTGATACATTTAAAGGCAGTGTCTTCTGTATATGTGATACATTTAAAGGCAGCGTCTTCTGTATATGTGATACACTTAAAGGCAGTGTCATCTGTGCATGTGATACATTTAAAGGTGTGTGTGTGTCCGTCTGTCTTTCCGTCCATCCGTCCGTCCGTCTGTCCATCCGTCCGTCCGTCTGGATCTATATCTTTAATAGACAAGCCTGGACCAATACATTTAAACTTTACACTTACATCATATATAAAATTATACATATGTACATCAATTTGTTTCACAGTCGGATTCAAGATAGCTGAACGGTGGCCATTTTTGTACTGAAAAATTATCAAAATAAAGCATTTCTGGCATTCTGGAATCGGATCTCAGCTGTTTGCTGGTGAATTTTGTTCAAACTTAGTACATACATTCGACATGGGACCTTGATGCACATCATTGTGTTTTTCAGATCGGTTTCAAAATTTTGTTTTAATGAATGTGGTTCTAATGCCATATCTGACGTGCTTTGACTTATTATGTTCAAATTTTATATATTCATTATACATTATGTTGTAGCTATACAGATGTATTCAAAATGGCTGACCAGTGGCTATTTCAGTTTAATTAATGCTTTTCCATCTGTCAATATGGACAAGTACTTGTTTGATGATCAGATACAAGATGTCTGAATATCAACCATTTTAATGTTCAAAAGTCATCATAATCAAGCATCAGCTTCTGGATCCATATCACTGACATGTTTATGTTCCAACTATATTACTATAAATAAAAAAAAAATATATCTTAAATATGGTAACTAACAGGGACTGTGCCATGCATGGCTTGTTAGTTGCCATTCTGTGTTTAGAACAAATGTTTATGTTTAGTTCACATGATGCAAACTGCTATGTGTTTTTAGTGTACCAGCTTTTGTACATGTACGGCAGTCATACAATTTGTTGTTGAAAGCCTGCGCACATTTAATCTTTAACCCTATAAACACTAATATTTGTCAGTCATTTGTCATTTCACAGAATATTTCCCAAATGTTTCCAATAATTTTTGATCAAATTCTGTAACCAATGGCAAATAATGTCCACAATGATGTGGCATCAAAGAAGCTTTGTCTTTACACACTGCGTTCATTCAGCTGTTCGATTTATATCTTCCAAATAAAGTGTTTAATATTCTGGCCCGTTTGAAACAAGTATTTTGGGGTAATATGTTTTTAACAAAGTTGCTTTTTTTGTAGCCCAAAATTTGGAGATGATCTTGATGACCATGATGATACCAGTAGTGTGACTTCAGGGTCTGTTGCAAATGTTTTACCGTCACCAATCATCAACCAAAATGGTAGCACAATGACTTTAGAACCATTGCTAAATGAATTACAAGAAATAAGAGAAGCACAAAGTGAGCTTCATCACACACTGGAAACGGTCAAGGTGAGTGATTTGTTTGTTTGTCTTGTAACAAGATACGTGTGAGTTTTGTACATTTTATTTGAATGCAATGTATTATTACACTACAACTATTGTCAACTACATGTACATTGCCAACTATGCCACCATTGCCAACCACACCTATATTCCCAACTACCCACCATTACCAACTATGCCACCAATGCCAACTACATCTACATTGCCAACTACACCTACATTACCAACTAGGCCACCATTGCCAACTATGCCTACATTTCCAGCTACACCTACATTACCAACTAGGCCACCATTGCCAACTATGCCTACATTTCCAGCTACACCTACATTACCAACTTTGCCACCATTGCCAACTATACCTACATTTCCAGCTACACTTACATTACCAACTATGCCACCATTGCCAACTACACCAACATTTCCAGCTACACCTACATTACCAACTATGCCACCATTGCCAACTATGCCTACATTTCCAGCTACACCTACATTACCAACTATGCCACCATTGCCAACTACACATGCATTGCCAAATATGCCTACATTTCCAACTACCCGGTACACCTACAATGTTAACTACATTGTATGCCACCATTGCCAACTACACCTATATTGCCAACTATACCATCGTTGCTAACTATACCACCATTGCCAACTAAACCATCATTGTCTCCTGCACACTATTGCCATCTTTACCTCATTGCCATCTGTATCTACATCACCACCTACAACACCAATGCCAACTACACCACCGTTGTCAACTACACCACCGTTGTCAACTACACCACCGTTGTCAACTACACCACCATTACTAACTATACCACTAGTGTCAGCTAAACCACCATTGCCAATTACACCACCATTTCTAACTATTCCAACATTGCCAACTATACCACCAAAGCCAACTAAATCTCTATTGCCAAATACAAAGCCATTGTAAACTGCAAAACTAATCACTGTTGCCAACTAAATCACTATTGTCTCCTACACACTATTGCCAACTATACCTACATACATTGCCAACTATACAACAGATGCCACCTACACCACCAATGCCAGCTATACTTCCATTGCCACGTATACCACCATTACTAATTACACACTACCAATGCAAACTGCTCCACCTTTGCCAACTTACACGTACAATGCCTACTATTAAACCTACACCACCATTGCTTACTTACACTACTATTTAGTAGAGTGAAATTTTTATATATACATTGTAAGGTTTGTCACAAGATCTTACTAAAAATACACCAGACAAAACCATAGATTATTGTTCAGCATGTGAAATGTGCACAACATGTGCAGATGAATAAGGACATTTTCAACTGGGTTACTTTGCATGGTTTTTCAGTGATTTGAAATCCCAAGAAATTTTGTTGCCTACAAAAATCCCTTACTCAATCACACTTTGTTCTTCAGGTACATATGGATCAGGAATTTACATTCTTCAACCAGTCATTACAGGAAGAAAGATATAGATATGAGGTCAGTTATGTTACTCTGTTTTCAAACTTTACAAATTCTGTTTTCTCAATAAAAACAGATGGTTGACATAACCTGATTATAATGTTTTGTTATATAAAGTTGAAGACTTGTATCTTCATAAAATACAGGCATGGCCACCAAAATACTTATTAGTGCCAGGTAGTGTGACACAGTGGATAGGTCAAAAATACTAATTTTTTCAAACATTTTACACATTTGTATGTATTCATCTGTAATTTCTTGGTTAATTTTGTAATAATTGTACATAATTGCTCAAAATTTTTGAAGAAAAAAAATTATACAGGTTTTATTTTCTGAAAATTGAGTTAAAGGTTCCATCAACTGGCAAAGAAAAAGAGGATGCATTTAAACTTGTTTCCATGGAAACTATGTCATTTTGTTTCTGGTAGCCTTATTTTGGTAGTTATTTTGGATTGAAAAATGGTTAAAATACATAGAATTGGGGTTCTATGAAAAAAAAAACCATATTCAATCCTTGGTGCAGTCACAAGTTTCATGAAATTCCTGTATCAAAAGTGGGTTAACCATTCTTAATCAGCCAGCTTGTCACAGTGATTTTTTTTTTTTTTTTTTTTTTTTTTTTTTTTTTTTTTTAACAAAGGCTTGAAAAACAATTAAAATTTATCTGAACTTCTCAAAATGAAATGATGAATTTAAAACAAAAATTCAAGTATGGAAAAAAAAGTGGAGTATCAATCTGATGAACGTGCCAAAGAGATATACAGGATGCTTTAAGAACAATGTCAAACAAAGAGTAAGCACATTTCACTATGTTACCATAGAGACACTCTAATAGTAGTTGAACTGCTGATTGCATTAAATCCCAGTACGAAAAGATGCAGGATTTGTTCCTTCTTCAAGATCATACATCATTAAATTTGCACTTTATGTATTTCAAGACATGAATATGCATGAATTATGGAATATATTTGAGGCGGTCAACCAGATCCGACCTTCTATTTTCCAGTATTGCATCTATGTCTGAATTCATGTGTGTGAACATTATCTAAAATCATAAGAAAGTATATATCTAGCTAAAACACTGGAAATAAAAAACTGAATACTATTCCAAAGTGCAAGTTTAAAAGGGGAAAACGATACTATTAGTACAATTAGTATGCTAATCCCAACCAAGCCGCTCTTATCGTGGCGAGAGCTCCTGGAAATGTGCCATTTACCATGTTTAGAGATCAAGCTGTGATTTGAAACACATTTCTACGGGGACATGAATATGTATGCTGGCAATTACACTCCTCTGGTTGGGCTTTTGATGTATAAATGTTGTTGTTTTCGGTCAAAACGTGCCGCGACAAGTAAAAATCCTTAGTTTAAAATGGCGGCTAATGTATGCAAAATGCCTGTCAATTACAGTTTGAGTAAGCGAGCATAATAAGCATTCATTTACTTAGTGGACAGAGGCAGAGTTAATTACCCATGAGCACGTGGTGCAATCCATAAGATTGAGCGGTTCCCCTTTAACATGCCACTCATCTATTCCAGACATTACAATCAAAATTAATGATGTTCTTTTTTTTTTGTAGATTTCCAAAATGGAACTTGCCCAACAACAACAGCAGGTTATTACATTAGAGGGGTATGAAAATGCCAATGCAAGGGCACTATTAACCAAATTGATTAACGTCATACTAGCAGTACTAGCAGTAATTTTAGTATTTGTATCAACCGTAGCTAATCTTATAACTCCATTTATGAAAACACGGTGAGTGCGGATTTTGATCTTTTAATGCTTATGAATTGACATGACTAACAAATGGGGGAATTTAAAAATGCTACAAATGTTGGGCCCTGAGTGAAAGCTCTATCAAATAAATGACAAAGAGCAGGTGAACTTTGTGATTCTCCCATAATGGTAAATACTGTAGAATGCTTTATTTTCGCTGAAGGAATAATTCAGTGAGATAAAATCCAATTAATATACCCTTTTATTCTATTTTTCACATTCCAAACTGATTACAAAAATCAGTGAAAATAAAATCCATACAAAACACTCAAAAAGTCTATTCAAGGAAAATTATTTCCATCAAAAATAAAGTATTTTACAGTCCTACTTGGGCTTTTCAGTTCCTGTATGGAACTTATGCTTTGACCTCTGTGTGTGTATGCGTACATGCAAGTGTGTGTGTAGTTCCATTTCCATCTCAGACATATCTGATTACAAATACATCACATACTTTGGGTGACACATGCACATCAATTTGTTTCATGACCCGATTCAAGGTAGCTGAAAGACAACCATTTTACTGAACCGGATTTCAAACTTGGTACAAATATTGAACAATATAGGACCATGATGTACATGGTTTTCAGATTGGATTCAAAATTGCCAGCTGGTGGCCAGTTTATTTTTAATGAATATACCTCCAACATGTCCTGACTGATCATATTCAAAGTTTATAATATACATCATGTCGCACATGTGCTTATTCATTCATTTAGTTATCCGATTCAAGATGATCTAATCGCAGTTAATATTAAAAATTCATCGAAATCGGATTTGGTCATGCATAGACAGGTTTTGTTCAAACTTGGTATGTCCATTGAACAGAAGGGGACCTTAGCGCACATCATTTTCCCTAGATTTGAACTTTATGGGATCGTAACTTTGTTTGTCAGATCAGCCTCAAAGTGCTTGACTGGTAGCTATCTTGCTTCAGTCATTGCAGTTTTAGAGCATATCTCTGACTAAAAAAAAATATATTTCTTAAACCTAAGAACTCACAGGGACTATGTAATGAAATTACTTGTGAATTGAAAATTCATCAACAAGCCTTCAAATAAGGCTCATAATTCAAATATTTTTTTTTTCTTTTGGCCTGCTAATAAACTGTCGAAAGTGAGTTATTCAAGTCCCTTCTTGAACTATACTTTGTTCATTATTCCCCCTTTTATGAACATAACCAATGCAATATGTTAATCCTTCCTTGAACAATTTATAGAAACAGTGACTTAATTCAGGACTCACTCATTTTTCATTTTCAAAATGGTTTTTCAATTGTACATTGGGTGATTCAAACACATGCTGAACTATGACTTGCTCTAGTGATGATTTTAAATATGGTTGTCATTGCTGATAACACAGTAGTATAACAACTCACTTCTGCATTCATCAGGATAGCTTATATAAAAAAACATTCAAGTGCATACAAAAACATAGAACCTCACAATATGTCTTCCATGTTGTTCTACTTGATAAGATTATGTAGACACACTTAATTATATATTATTAGTGTTCTGATGAGACTCAATTTAGTCGTACATACTCTGCAATTTCATTTTCATGAACAGCACAATAGAAATGGAATTACAAACGTATTCCAGAATTACCTTGTACAGTACTCACAATATTGTATGAAAATGGTCTTTACCTGTCAATGATGTTACAAATGTCACATGATGTCACTAAATGAAAAGCTGATATGTTTTTTTTTTTCTCCTCCATTGTCCAGGATGAGAATAGCGAGTACAACAATGTTTGTAGTCAGCGTGACGATCGTTTTAAGGAATTGGGACACAATACAGAGCACCGTTCAGACTTTTCGACGGGATTATGGACATATTTTACCAGAGCTATGACAAAGCACTCAAATAATATGCTTATTTGAGCAAAATGTATGGCTGAAAATAAACTGTTAAGCGACTCTTATTTTAAAGGGTTGAAATTCTAAATATAAAAATGTTGCAATATAGTATAAGAAGCTCCTATGGCCGTAGGCTAGCCCTTGTATGAAGGAGGCCAGCTAGAGGCAAATGCTGCCCTCTGGAGGCAAGAACATTGTGCTGGCCACAATTTTTTTAGCAGATTATTGTGGTTTCCATAGCAACATCAGATGGACACGTACCACCTTGGTTTTTACTGAAAACTTTATGTAATGTACACGTGTGTATTATGTTACCGTGATGATAAAATTTACATTTTTTTTCTGACATCACATGCTTCCGTATTTTGTATACTAGTTGACTGGCGCAGCTTGCTTCCAGTTCATTTTGAGCTTTAAATATATAAATGTATTTTTTATTGCAGAGCTTAGTATGTACCTATTTAATATGAACATTGTATTTTACACCATTCCGCAGGTTGATTTTCTCTGCTTTCTGTGGACCAATTTATTTTATGTGATGTTACTCAAAACGCATCATCAAGTGATTTGAGTTAAGCTTAGGTATATTTACCACAACTTATTTTGTTTTTCACTTTTTTTTTTCAGTTTTAATTTATACTGTGCAAGTTTCTCATTCCATAATAGTCATTTTGGATCGTCTCAGTTTTATTTATGGCTATCTATGCGCTGTTACTAGTCTTTTTCTGTCAGTTAAAGCGGGGGAGTCATCACCTGCGCATGCGTCAGATGGCCATAGCGTGTCATTGTTTACAAACAAGTGTTTACCCATGAGCCTTTGCATTTTAGTGTGTGTTGTTATAGTCGCTTGGGACCCAATTACCGCACGTGCGCAGGTGACTGCCCTCTCGCTTTGAAGCAGCCATATTACATTTTTCAGGTATGCAAAGGGGTCTTTCAGGGCTCTCTAGCTGTTTTCTTTAACAATGTGTAAAGCAGGTGGAAATGATTTACTGTCTCTACTGCAATGTAAATGTAACCTAATGTCGCTTATTTTTATTAGTTGTCCAAAGTACATTAGTTTTGTTTTTAATTGTGAATGACCCAAAACCTATTATGCCAACTAGACCCCTCTCTAATCTCTTTATAAACTTTCCCTGCAAGAAATATCATTTGTCCTCGTTGGACTGTGGTGATTGAGGGTTTTATCACTGATAATGATTAATCCTCAATGGGACACCTTTCATAAAAAAAAAAATTATATTCAATTTCAAATTTTAAAAGTGTGGGGATTATAATTATATTGGTGTGCACATTTGTACAATGCTTTGTTTCCATGGAAACTGTTTTCTGTTTGTGAAGGAGACAAGTTAATGCCCAAAATTAGTTAGTTACCTTGAACTTTCTAAGTATTTTTTCAATGAAACAGAAGAAAATGCTAAGCGGAATCTACCAGTAGCGATATTAAAAGTATGCCCTCTATGGCGATATTTAGTAAAACCTCTTCCACTAATTCTCAGGTAGTAGGAAAAATTGAACCGAAAATGCTGTAAATGATGTTACAATTGATGGTTTAAAGGCTGTGTTCATACATGTTCGCTTTTGCGAATAGAATAGCATTAGCTGTTTTCTTATTTTTCTCAATCCACGAAATACTACCGATAAGTCGAAATGACCTTTGTAAAACCAAATGAAATCACATGAACCAAATATCATTATGTGCAAACTATAGACAGATAGATCTAGAGTATTATATGGGTTGACAGATTTGAAAGAAAATGGTGTTTAAAACACAGCTTGTGTCGAAGTAGGTTATTCTAGTTAATATTGTGTAGGCTTTAGGTAACATGGTTTTGAGGCATAATATATAGTGAAATATGCACTGTGTTTCCTCTATATTGCAAGTGTGTTTTTTAATGGGCATGTAATGTTTCAGCGCACAATTTATTGTTGATTACATGTACAAATTAACTTTTTTTTTTACAATTTTTTGATGTGAAAAGTTGTTGAATCACAGTCGTAACAGCACTTTACTGTGTGTGTACTTAGATATATGTCTGTAATAGAGGAAATACAGTGTACTCATCCTTACAAACATTGCCATGCATGGCAAATGGGTCTTTCTGTATTTTATACTGAACTATTTTGTGAAATGCTCAAAACCGATTCTCGCTAAAAAATTTCATAAACATGTGGACATTCATTCACCCAGACAAAAGTCACTGTGACAATCTTAAAATAAAACTATTTTCAGTGACACAATTTTCTAGGTTTTTTTTCTTTTGGAACATGGACTTTTCGAAATGCTAAAAATGGAACTTTAACCAAGAACTGTAAAAGGGTCCGTAAAAACAAAGTTTATTACTAGTCTACACAGATCTGAATCATTGTGCTTTGTTTTTTTCGTCACCACCTGTAGGGAGTTTCATTCGTGAAGAGAATTCAAAACTGCAAATCTTGCTCGAGTTAATATTTGCTGGGAGCGCCTATTGGTCAGGGTTCACAACAATAGTAGCTGATTTTAGACAAGGCTTAATGGATGACCACAGATTTGACGTATTTGAATTGAATATTTACTTGGAATGCATGATATGTCAATATAGTTCACTTAATCCTGTCTCACCTTGATCACAGAAGTGTATAGCCCCAACTGATTGTACTTGTTTTGCTTAGGCTGAAGATACTATTTAATATAACATACACAAATTAAACTAAATTAAATTGTATTGAATATTATGGACGTAAGTTGTAGTGAATGCAATAAATAAAATTTACAGTAAATTAGTGCATGGGATTTACATTTGGTGGGTATTGTGTCTCTTTCTAAACGTATATTGCATGTATTTACTCTATTAGAAGAGTATGTTCAACAAAAGAACATATAAACATGTTGCATACTAGGTCACTAAAACATAATTTTACATATCGGGAAGTACGGTACTACAAATAGAATAAATACAATATAAGTTGTACAATGATGTATTCTTATGCAGGTTAACTTTCTGAGGTAATACTGGAAAGATTGGGTTACTAGTATGTTGTAAGCAGCTTCTAACATGATCACATGGAGTCCATGGAAGCAATGACTGATTTCCTCTGAACTGTTAATCTTCACTATAGTTTTCATTTTGAATTGTAAGTTATATTTTAAAAACTAGTTTGGTTACTGCTAATTTTTCTTCAAAAAAGCCAGTTGGAATCAAAGAAAGCTTAGAAAAAACTCCCGTATGCTGAGAGTATTGGAGACACATTCAGAATTACTTCTACTTGAGATATTGATGGAAAAGCTAATTATGCAAATCAGGTAATCAGTATGAACAGATTTGAGTATATAATTAAGAATGTATGCGCAATGTTACTGACCATCTATGTACCAAGTTTCATTGAACTGTGATTAGAACCAAAAAAATATAAATTATTATGCTACATTGTAATTATGGAAATAATATGAACAGATTTTAACCCAAATATTTACTCCAAAACAATAGATCTTTGCATAGTCCTACAGTATCTGTGTACAAAGTTTCATTGAAATGTGATTATTAGTACCCGGTAGTTGAGATATTAGTGGAAAAGCTGAAAAATAACTAATTATGCAAATTAGGTAATTATTATGCACGGATTTCCACCAAAATCTAATCAAATCTGCGCATTAGTTCAGAGCATCTATGTACCAAGTTTCATCAGCATCCAATGGCTAGTTCTTCAGATATCAGTGGAAAAGCTAATAATTGGCTAATTATCATGCAAATCAGATAATTAATATGCATGGATTTTTACCAAAACCTAATCAAATCTGCGCATTGGACCAGAGCATCTATGCACTAAGTTTCATTGAAAACCAATGTATGGTTCTTGAGATATCAGTGGAACAGACAGACACGCATAAACACACACAAATTTCTGTGTAAGCGGGGAGTTGCCATAAATATCTACGATCGTTAATGTTAGTGGGTATAAATTTCCCTACGTACACTTATGCCTTAGTTCACAGAACAGACTGGTTGCACCCTTTCTTAGTGATGTCATCATCTCCTACCTTTCGCAGTAGCACCATACCTGTCTTTCTTTCAGGTTTACCAGTACTGCACAATTCTTGTCTGGTACATGTGTTCTTTCAGAATAGTTGTAATAACTATCATTACCAACCAGTTGAATTAGACAAGTCTGTTACTTCTTTTTGCGATCCTTTCAACTTGTCCATCACAATTTTAATTAAACTTTATTAGGTTCCAATTGAATACTTCAATCTTATATAAACTTGAAACTATCCGTGATTTGATCAATTTAAATATAATAATAATTTACAGGGGCAGAGGTCAAAAATTGTTAGTGTCATATTGGCACACAATTAATATCTTAAAGCAAAATTATATCTTCAAGAAATATATATATACACTCACCTCGATAAAATAGTTCCTTAGATTGTGAAAGCTAAACAAAATAGTGTAATTCTACGTAAAAGTCTAAGTTTATTTCACCCTCACGGAATAACTGATTTGTATCCTAGTATTACATGTATCAGGCACAATTGTATTTGCCATACATAAATCCCGTTTTGGAAGTCAAATGCCATGTGGCCAACAACTTTCAATTTGCTGATCAGTAGACGTTAGTGAAATAAAGTCCTTAACACTACAATTAAATTATTTTACTTTTTTTACACTGAACTAGGTTCATCTTGTCTTGTCTACTGGTAACATTGGTGCCAAGAGCTCACACTAATAGGATTATACAACTAATTAACTGCGAAAACTGCTAAGAATGTTTTTCCTACTCCATTGGCCTCGAAAAGCAAGGAACCTGTCCCTAAACTCTATAGCTCAATTTTAAGTGATTCAGAACGTTATTTGACTGGAAGCTAGTTTTGCTAAATGTCATTCTTGTTGTTAAAAGTGATGCAATTTTTCTCCGTGTGGTTTGGTCATCAAATGGAGCATTAGTGGTGCCATGAAAAAATATAGCGAGATAATCAACCAACTACTTCTGGGTGGAAATGATGG